CTGTGCCTGCGGGCCCAAGTTGATCGGATAAAGCTTGTTTTTCTGAGATCAGGGGATTATTTCAAAATAGGCTTGGAGTGAGAAAAGTGAGCATTGCTGAAGTAATGATGAGTAATCGTCACAAAAAAGCTTTCTTTGTTACATGCAAACATCTGTAATGTTGCAACAGAAAAAAAAATTTTCAGCGATTCACGGAAGTCTTTTTCATTCCTTTTGTGTCTCTTTTTTATATATATCTTTTTTTTTTAAACAAAATTTTCACTGTTTCAACATTTGAATGATCTTTTGTATAGTTAGGGCGAAGCAATATGGCTTAAAAGTCTAATCTCTGATATTTTTCTTTTAAGTCAGATTAATCTTTTTTTTTTCAGAATAAAAATGACAAATGAAAGACAATACTCTCAAAAACTAGTTTTATTTTCATCATCTCTTTTGGGAAGTGACCTGAATTTAAAGGGCAAATGAATTAGAGCTGTAGAAATGCTTCTAAAACATTTTACAATGAGTTGTAAGTAGACACCTAAGAACAAGCCCCAGATATGCATTAGTGGGGAAAAAAGAAACGGTAATACTTTATAAAAACTCAATTAAAAAAAAAAATGTAATCTTCATTTACAGAAAATTTTATAAATCTGTTTAATCCAGTAATCACCCAGCTGTATATCTAATCTGCAGTTATCTTTGAGACATATTGCCCAGGTAGGACAGTTTGTTGAAAGTACAGCTATTTGTCTTACATTTTATGAATCATACCTCAATAAATTAGTTACAATTAGTTTAAAAAAAAGATTTGTATCTGGTTGGATGAGATAAATTCAAACTTGTGCAAAGCGCTGTGTCTGCATCATCATGGGGGAATCATTTTCTTCAACAGGTTCAGGATCGTTAGTGATAGATGAAGCTAAATACAGGGCAATATTGAAATAAAACTAAATAGAGGCAGGCAATTTTTACTAATATAGCCCATTTCAGTGGCAAGACGAGTCAAAGTAAGCTTCTCCAAGCGGGGTTCTTGTTCTGGTTATGCAGAGTAGATATGAGTTCTTTTGACTCATATCTAGAGGTCCGGGGGTTGATACACTTACAGCAAGTCTGTATTGTATTTAGGTGCTAAGATATTCAGTGCTTTAAAGACTAGAAAAACTAATTTGAAGTCTATTCTTTGAGATTCAGGGAGCCAGTTAATTGAGTTTGGAACTAGGGTGATGTGCTCCACTTTATTTCTGGTGAGGATGCAGGCAGCAGAATTCTGGATCAGCTGCAGCTGTATGATCCACTTTTTAGCCGGAACCTGTAACACAGTTGGAGAAATCAATTCTACTGAAGATGAATGCATGTATTAGTTTTTCAAGGTCATAAATGCTAAATGGCCTGTACTTATATAATGCTTTTTCAAGCCAGAGGATTTGACCAAAGAGCTGTTCACTACATTCAGTCATTCATTCACCTATTCACACACACACTCACACACTAATGGTGGCAAGCTACATCATAGCCACAGTTGCCCTGGGGCTCACTGACAGAAGAGAGGCTGCCGTACACTGGCGCCACCAGTCCCTCCGACTACTGCTGAGAAATTAGTCAGTCAGTCCTGGAGATGTTCTTTAGGTGATTGAAGGTCAACTTTGTTATTGTCTTTGTGAGCCTTTGAAGGTTCAGATCTGAGTCCATCATGACACCAAGGTTTCAAACCTGATTGGTGGTTTCTAGCTGTATTAAGTGAAGCTGTGTGCTGTATGTTGTTGATGTCTCATATGCATTTACCCAGTACTCAAATGGGTTCATAGTTACCCGATGACATCATAATATATAGCTGTGTGTCATCTGCACAGTCATGGTAACTAATGTTGTTTATAGTCTGAGTTAGGTGGAGCATGTAGATATTGAGTAAGAGGGGTCCTAGGATGGGCTCTTGGGGAACGCCAGATGGGATTTTTATGGTCTCTGATGTAAAGTTACCTACTGACATAAAAAAGTCCCTGTCCTTCAAGTAGGATGTAAAACAGTCAGCTACTGGACCAGAAAGGCCGACCTGGTTTTCCAGGAGAGACAGCAGGAGGAAAGGTTTTGTTGGTGTATGATTTAATCTGATGTTTTATAGTTTATTTGGTGAAATGGGTCGTTTTTCCATGATCAATTCTAGTTTGGGACATCTTTGGTACTGGACTTGATATGTAAGACAGACTACCACAATCAATCAATTAACTTTATGGTCAACTACAATTTACATTGCAATCGAGATTTCAGTTTCAGTTATTTCACACTTTATCCTTGTCAGGATACAGTTTAACATATAAAAAACCTCAGCACAAGAAAAGCACATGTAACACAAGACAGACATTTCAGCAGAGGGTCACATTGGAGGTGGAGTCACATGAAGCCATATCTAATCTCTCATTAAATTTGCTTATTTTATCACTAAAAAGTGAACAAATTACCAAATGTATTGTAGGGCCTGGTAGAGTGGAGTTCAGATGTTAAAGTTAGAGGAGGGTCTGATAACTTTCTGAATATGACAAATAAGACATGAGCACTGTCAGTTATTCTGATGATGATCTCAGAGAAGAAAGATGTTTTTGCATTTTCCAGTTGTGAGTTATATCTTTGATGTCTATCTTTATAGATGCTATATTGAACTTTGATTCCAGACTTTAGCCATGTGCATTCATTATTTTAGCCCTTCTTTTTTTACTTCTGGCTGTCCAAGCATCTCTATGGATAAATTTACTTCTAAGAAAAAACCTTTACTTCAAATTGGAGCAATTAAATCACTAATGTCTTAAACATTATAGTGAAATGTATCTACCAGCTCATCTGTACTTACAGAGCAAGTTTGAGGTAGAGGAGTAAATCTGGTTAAAGTTTCAGCATCACAGTCATTTTGAGTCATATCTTCAAAATAAAAGCAAAAAGGTCAGATAGGTTAACATCAGTTACAGACATTTTGGAAATGTTTATAAAATATTCAAGAACATGGGTCAGACTGAGCTCTTTACCTGGAGAGTCTCAAGAGTTTTTTTAAGTTTGGGATAAAAAAAGACAACTTGATATTGAAAGAGAGGTTCACCAAATAGTAGGAAAACTCATATAAACATTCAGTCAAAGCAAAAAGTGTCTCGTTTTTCCTACAGTAGGCTGACAGGAAAGGGGTTATGAGAGAGAGGGAGAGACATGCGGCAAAGGACCACAGGTCGGATTCAAACCCGGGACGGCCATGTCGAGGCCTCCGTACATGGGTTATGGACATTAACCACTGTGCCACCTGCACGCCCCAATAGATGAGCTTTGACTTGACCTAAAAGCTGATGTGCACTGATGTCCATTCAACCTGACTGAGCTTAAGTTAGAGAACAATGTTCATGTCTGGAGGTGCAAAATTGTAGAAACATGCCTATGTTAAGCCCCTGTCACACCTTGACGATTTAGCTATCGTGTGCCTGACGTCCCAGAATCTTCTAAACTGCTGGCATATACTGAACTTTTTTTTTCAGTTTTGGGCATATGCATAGAGTATTCATAATGAGTCCAGAACTTATGTCCAGTCTAACTTATCCATAACGCACGGCAGCGTAATGCCCATGAAACGTCAAAAGCCATTGTCCTGGGGGGGGCAGCAATATGCCTGGAAAGATGCAAAAAGATGTCTTTGATCGCCGTTAGCTGCCGTTTACCGCCGGCCAAAAAAGATAAAATATATGAATAAAAAATAAGGTTTGCAGTCACAGCAGATTCAGCGTCATGTCTGCTAGGAAGTTATTTTCCTGTCTCAGCCTTGCCGGATCCTCCATCTTTTGTGAAACGTCTGAAGGAGAACTGACGGTTTCCTCCTGTGAACCCATTTTATACAAAAACACTGCCAATACGCCACTATACGGTAGCTGTAAGTTAGAAACGCATCCAGGGGTCACGTCAGATACGTTCATATGTGTTGGAGATACATTTTTTATAAGTTATGCATAAGCTATGCACACTTTCATCATCGGTTTTGGATAAGCTTGATGCCACGACTTATGAGTAACTTACACTTACTGGATATCAATCATATTAGATAACTTACCTGTAACTTATGGCCCACATATAAGCATACGCTGAGAAATTTAAATACTTGCCATTTGTTGACATCTGCAAGTGTGCTTCAACGTGCTCATAACTTATACAAAACTGATCCATAACTTATGCAACGTTTGCCAGCGTTTTTCTCAGATTTTTGATATATCCGGCACACGCTGCTCTAAATGGTCAAGTTGTGACAGGGGCTTTATAATGTCATGTAATCTAGACGCTTCTAAGCAGTATGAAAACTTTTAAATTACATCACTGTTCAGCTTTTGATGTATTTGAATATTTTTGAATTAAAAAAGAAGGATCAGTTTGTTCAGATTCAAACCTCCATTAGAAAAGATTCCCCAAAAACTCCAATATTGCTCCTTGGTGAGGCGAAATAAAACAGTTTCATGTGATAACAGATGTCTGTGAAATGTGTTTGGGACTGAGTGGCTAATTTACTGTCTTTGGTTGGGTGCTTGGCATGGAGTAGACAGCTGGTCTGCCACACAGGAGATGACAAGAAAGACAGAAGTGAAGCCAGACTGCTGATTGATTTCAGGAAAACCCACTTGGTGCACACACACACACACACACACACACACACACACACACACACACACACACACACACACACACACACACACACACACACCATTTTCCTCTGTCTCTGTTCTCACAAACTCTTTCCTGAAGGCATCATTTTGCTTCCTAGTGCACTGGGTCAGACGAGGATTGGTTACAGGAGGAATTCCCTTATTACTCCCAAAGCTGCAGCTGGATTAAAAAGACATTCAAGCTGCAGGAATAAAAACATGAATAAAACATGAGGATGTTGCTTTTGCTTTACTTACCATTCATTTATAACTAAATTAAAGCATGATTACATTAAACAAATCAGAATCTAAAATGTTACAAACTAAAAAATGTTTCACCAGATTTCTCTGGTTTGTCAGGGTGTGGTGGGTCGGGAACCGTTCCCCTTGCCTCCAGTTCCAGCTCCAGCCTGTATAGAATCTACAGAGAGCTACTATGAGGAGGCTCAGCCCTATGAGGAAACAGTCAACGGTAAGAAACTACCTGAAACACTTCCTGTCTTTCTACAAAGCCTTTAAAAATTACACTGTAAGATTTAGTGATGTATATTGGCATATCTGTAGCTTGCAACGGAATGAAAAGTAATACATAAGAACCAATAGTAATACTGACTTAAATACTATTCATAGTTATATTGGCTTTACATTTTTTTTTACTTTACAATTTTTTTAACTGTCTTGTAACTTTCTACGTATTGTTTACATTGAAAAACAATTGAACCAAAAATAAGCCACTTTATTCTGAAAAGCAGAGGCATTTCCAGTATAATCACGGTATGATTCAAATCAACCTTATTTGATTGGATGTACAAACAGGAAATCACAACTGTAACACTAGCTGTGTATTATGGAGAAAACATTTGGTTTATGTCTTGAATATTAAAGAATAACTGTTGTTTGCCCTTAGAAAGGAGGAGGGTTTCCTAATTATTGTCCTCAGTGACCAGACTAACTGCAGATGGCATTTTAACAATTGATAATATTGGTGTTTTTTGCACATTATCCATTGAAATACTCAAGTTACCTGTTTACTTCCAGGGGCTGATTGGAAGAAGATTTCAACCTTAGAAATGGTCGGAAATGCAGTTAAATAAACTATTAATAGAGCTTTTTTTGTTTTGTTTTCCTAGTTACTTTCTAACTAAGCATCTGGTTAAGTGAGGAAAGTAACTCTTTTATTATTTAATAATTAATGTTGGAATTATCGATACCAAATACTTTACAATCGCTTTGACAAAAATGTTAAACTTTGCTGTCTCCTGACATATTGATCTTTAACAGGATCATTAACAGTTCATTTTAAGACAATAACTCCCCTCTTATGCTCTTTTGTTTTCAGCTAACTTATAGATTTTTTTATGTGTTTAGGTCTTCAAACTATGCAAATATGAAATAATGACCCTGTTATTAGTTGTTAACTTTTGTGTTTCCGTTTGCACAGACCTTAATGTTATGCATCTCTGGGTTTTCTCTTTAATTGGAGTCACAACCACTTGCAGAAAGACTCAATCTTAGTGCATCTGATCAGATCACACACTAGAGTTTCACTTATAATCATTTTATGAAGTCAGTCTCTACAGGTTTACAGTTGTGGTGGGATAGAAAACAACAGATTGCATCTTTTGGTTTTTCTGAAGATTTTATTTTCCTGAAGTACGATTTCTGGTAGCGATTCTCTAAAAGCAGAATTTTTCCTCTATCTTACTATTCTTGTCTCTGTGTAAAAATAGTGCAATTTCTCCTCCTGCTTTTTTCCAGTTTTAGTTGTTTTTATGTTTATTAATTACTTATTTAACTGTAGATGTGGGAAGGTTACAGACATTTCCCGACTTAGTCAGATTAGCATGGTCTCTGTAAAAGAAATATTGGCCTTTGTGTAGCATAGCTGAAAACAGGAAGTTAGAAATTATGAATTAAAAAAGGTATAAATTCCCAAATTCTTCAGCTTTATTTTTTGATAAAAGTTTTCAGGGTTGGTATTAAATTAGGATTATGTAGTCAATGTATTCAATATATAATGCTGTTGAACAGAAGGTTACTGATTTGTTCAAAAGCTGTTAATCAGATTTAGAAGTATACTGTATGTATGATTTCCATAAAAACATGAAACTGCATTTTATTACCATGAAAAAATTATCATGGCTGAACCAACAGTAGAAGTAAAATCTAATTCTGTTCAGTTGGAGATTGACCTTTGGATTTATTCACTCATGTACAATTTTCTGTATTTTTAATTATTGTATAATAATTAATATTCTATATTTTTTGCCTCTAAAATGTTCCATATTTCTTTTGATGCTGTGCAGATCTGGTGTGTTCTGGCCTCCTCTCTGAGCCCTGGATGAGAGTACACAGCTCAGACAGTGTGCTTTATGCTGTTATCACTGGGGGTAGATGGGACTCATGTACTCTGTGGCATGTGTGCACTTGTTTTGAATTTTTGTCACCCAAAACATGCACGGGAAACCAGCATGGTGAGAGCGTGGCATGTAAAGGAGCTGCTGCCATTAATCAGGCTTATGGGATTCCTGAATGTGCTGTTTGACTGTTTTCATAACCTGTTATTGGTCTTCCTGCCAACCATCCATCTGTTTTTAAAATTCACTCATCTTCTTAAGATTTGTGAGGAAATGCCTCATTCAAGAGGGTCAGAAGATCAAGCTCATTAACTCATTTAAACTCATCCAACTCATTCAGCTTGCTTAAGAATTTGCTCTCATATCACCCATCTTTCACCTGATGACATTTCTAATGTCTAAACAGTCATTTTTGTCTTCTTAGATGATGCAGACGCGGTTAGCAGCTCATATGAGTCCTACGATGAGGAGGAGGTGACCAGAGAGAAGTCGACATCAGCGCAGCACCAGTGGCCTTCAGCTGAGGCCTCCATCGAGCTGATGAAGGATGCCAGAATCTGTGCCTTCCTGTGGAGGAAAAAGTGGCTCGGCCAGTGGGCCAAACAGCTCTGTGTCATCAAAGACCATCGCCTTCTGGTGGGTTGAAAGGCTGCAGATGATTGGTGGAACATCAGCATCTGAGTTTTTTTTTTCTTTCCTCTCTGTGAACAGCATCAGTCTATCTGGTAGTAAAAATAAATAAAAATACTATTGTACTCAGAAAATGTTTAATGATTGCAGGTCCATTCTTGGTTGATACACACTGCAAAAGGGATCTAAAAATATGTAAAAATTTAATTAAGTGTATTTACCCTTAATTTGAGTAGGTACATAAGATGATTTGCCAATAGAATGAGTATTTTAAATATAAATTATCCTGTTTCCATTGGCAAAGTGTCTCACTTACCTACCCAGTTCAAGAACAAATGCATTTATTAAAAAAAAAAAATGACTTATTTAGATTTACTTCTTTGGATTGTGTTTCTTCAGGTTCTCAAATTAACAAACAGACAAGTTCTGTTAATTTTTTTTTTTCTACTTGGCTCTTTTTGGATTGTTTGGATTTCCATAACCTAAAATAAATAGTAAATAAGTCCGTTAAAAAAAATAAATCAGTATTTTTGAATGATTGAATGTATTTTCTTTATTAAAAATAATTTCTTTTCATGGTAAGGTTTACCAAAGGGTTTTGAAACCAAATAAAACCATTTTGACCTCCGTAGCTTCTGGACAGATGAGATCAAGGTAGGGTTTTTTGACCATAGTGCACATGAACTGGAACAACCTGTAATGCACGGTGGTGGAAGGATGATGATTTGGGAAGTTTATGCAGCTACAAAACCTGAGCCCATTTGCGGTTGGTGTTTCTCATGGACTTCATTCTTCTGCTGAAGGCCTGCCTGAGTCCTCAGTATAAAAACTAATAAATTAAATCAAAATCAGGATTTCAGTCGCTGACAAATCTGCAGTGTTCAAATGTTCTTCTCAGACCACAACATGACTGAAACGCAGCGAAGGGAACTTTAGAAAGCTGTGTACAGACACATTCCTGCAAACCTCAGTAACCTTCTCAGCTGTAGCATGTCAGCACTAAAGAGATGAAGTCATGTTGGTTTCTTTCTTTTTTTTTTCCCTTAGTGCTACAAAAGCTCCAAGGACCAGACGCCTCTGCTGGACGTGAGTCTGTTAGGCTGCACTGTTATTTACAAAGAAAAGCAGCCCAAGAAAAAAGAACACAAGCTGAAGATCATCCCAGTAGGAGGCGAGGCCATTGTGTTGGGCCTGCAGAGCAAAGAACAGACTGAGCAGTGGCTAAAGGTGACCAGTTTTGTGTTTCCTTTTGATTTTTGATAAATTTTCCAATAGTTTTGATAGTGGGGGAAAAAAAACAACATGCATATTTTAACACACATTAGGTTATTCAAGAAATAAGTCCCAAGCCAGCTGAAAGCTGTGACCCTCAACATCCTGGGTCAGACTCCCCGAGGCTTATTTGCACTAAGGTATGCTTCTGTGAATATTTGATTACATGTAATGTGAGCAGACATAATATGAAGGACAGCTCTAGGGTGTAAGATAAACCGGTGGGTTCATAAATACCTGTTTTTATTCTCTAACTTGGGAAAAAAAGGCTTTTAAAATGCATTAATTTTATACAAATATTCAGGGAGATCTGAACGAGAGACACTCGCTGGCTTCAGAGAGCGGCAGCAGCACAGACAGCCACAATGAAATCACAGAAAACAAAGATGGTGAGTGCGATCCTTTGAATTTACAACAGTTGGACACTTTTAGCAATGATTCAAGAAGTACTTTTTCCTCTCTTGGTTTATACAGTGAAGAAAAAATATGGCCCTGGTTTAATGTTCAGCAATCTGATGAACATCGGGAAGAAAAAACCATCCGCACTTGAGAGCCCTGAGAAAAGCATCGACACGTCAGGTAAACAAAGATCGCTTGATAAATAAAGGGGGTGGTTTTCTACTTTAACTTTTAACTTTAACCATGCATTCTGCTTTACACCAAACTCAACTTCTTTGAAAGAAGTTTTCTACATTATTAATATATATTACAGTCAACCTGCACAGGCATAGTCTAAATTAAACGTATTGTTCCGACTGATGTGGTTTCCTGTTAAGATGTTGTGCTAATAATTCCATGTATATTTAGATATGATATGACTTCTTGAGGATTTTGCAGGTTCTGAGCAAAATCCTCAAGAAGTCATAACCTGTTAATCGGTTATATAAGAAAACTACCGACGGAATAGTTTTCCTGTTTCCGTATAAGATTTAATGAAGAGGTTTAGTAGGCGTTCCCTCTCGGATGTAGGTACAGGGTTGTGCATGTGCATGTTGAGAAAGCAGGTCTTTTAAAACAATTCAAGAAAATCCTCCACTATACTTTTAATGTAATATGACTTGCATACCGGGGGCAAGAAAAAGAAAAAAAAATTAAATTAAATACCAGCTAAGGACAGACCACTCCTGCAACACAAATTATCTAATTGCTGTACAAAGGGGGAAAAAGAAAGCTAAAACAGCAACAGTAAACTAGGCCTAATATTAATTCATTATGATAAAGACACAATTGAAAACTAAACACATTCTCTCTTAAAATTCAGTTTGTTTTTTGCTTTTGTAAATTCTTATTACAATTTCAGGTTGTTTTTAATTCTTTCTGCAATGCAAGGTTTTTATTTTTATTGTAGTTAACAATCATTTTTGTTTCATTCTAGTTTTCACGACTTTGTTAGTTTTGATTAGCAATAATGACCTCAATTCATTTTTTTTGGTATTTTCCAAGCATACAGCCTTATATTTTCTCTTAGACATTTAAAGGTAGCTTTAAAAATAATGATTTTGCAAACCACTCCTCTTTCTAACACATGCAAATAGAAAAAGCTTTAGTAGTTGAGGCATTTCTACAGCTCTTGGAAATACTTTTACTTTGAAAAATCAAATTTAAAAGCCCATTTCTGGCTCTTTACGAAGCAGCTATTACCCGAGGTTCTAAGAACTAAGTTTTTTTAAACAGATGTCTTCTGATTAAGGTTTTCTCTTTGATCTTCTTCCAGGTTACCTGAATGTACTGGTGAACAGCCAGTGGCGGACCTGCTGGTGTCTCATAAAGAATGGCCAGCTGTGGTTTTACCAAGACAAGGGAAAGAACAAAGTGAGCCAGCCAGCGGTGACCCTGGAGGGCTGCAGCGTCTCGCCCGACCCCAGCCCCGATCATCTCTACTCCTTCCGCATCGACTTGGACGGCACGCAGATTGCAACCTTAGAGGTAGATAAATACTGAATGTATTCTTTCTAACAGGAGACGCTTGAGTCTTTTTGCAGAGTGTCATTTTTATCGTGACCACAGCGCAGCGGGTTTCAGCTGCTGAGCCGTGCTGTATCTTCTATGTGCTGATTTAGCAAAGGTTGTCGAAAAAAGATCTTGATATGTGATCAGATGTGGTGTGTTTTCTTTCTCTTGCTTATTTTCTCATGCGCACTGACTTTCCTAAATTTGATCTGATAAACAAGAACGGTCTAACACAGGCCCTAGCAGAGTTTCCGCTGACATCTGACTTTGTGGATGTCAGAGCTGGATGCCCGTGAGGGTGGTCCTGTGTGTTGGAGAGTGTGTGTATGGATGGATGTGAGGGTGTGGTTGTGCTGGGATTACAGAGGCTACAGCTACACCCACTTTCATTAGTCCTTCAGTACCACCCCAGCTGCACATTTGGTCATAGGCTTTGGAATTTATTTATTTTTTTTAAGTCTTGAGGCCCTCCTTTTTCTTTTTCCAAAGCCATCAATGGTTTTTTGAGATGCTAAGATGGTTGCATACTCAAATCTGCTGCTTTCATTTTATACATTTCAAACAAGAGGGTCACAAAAGTCTCCAAGTAGCAGTTTTGGCCTTAATCTGCTTAATCTCTGTTAAAACTTACAGTCATCACAAACCGGAAAGATGAATTGAAGATTTTGTTTGCTAAATCTACACAAAGAAACAACTTTTTTAAGGTTTTTTAATAGAAATCTGAAAAGTACAACATATAGTTCCTCCTCACCAACCCCTGAGGCTGACTTTAAAGAATGATTTTAACTGCAGTTACAGACTGCTACAACACCCTTTGATCTGAATAGCATCTATGAACACCAGTGTACAACAAATGACACAGTTGATCTGTTTGGTTTATGTTTAGGATTTAACTAGGCCATTCTGCACCATCCTTTGAGCAGAACCATTGACTTCCTGTATGTTAAGGGTCATCCTGCTGAGAGGTGAACATCAGAGTTAGTTTAAATCTTTTGCAGCATTTTCAGTATGAAAAGTTTCTCTGTCTCTGATGAAGTAAAAAGTTTTTAAACCATAAAAGCTGCCGCCATCATCGCCACTGTGGTTTGCTCACCTTAGCTTCATACTTCAAATAGATCTTTGAAGTCAAAAGCAACATTTTGCTTTAATCTGACAGAGCTTAAACCTTTAGACTTTGTTTAGGTTCCAACCCTACTTTAGATTTCCCCCTAACATTGGAATTCGTTTGCTGGTATAAGGTTTAAAGGGTTGAATACAGTTAGTCTACCACATTGAATGCATGAATTACATTGAAGTTTGAAGCTGTTATGCTAGTTGAAGGGTAAGGAATCATCAGTAGCAAACAGTTCTTGACTCAAACATTGTTGTAGCAATCGTTTCATTAGCCAAAGCAACGGATGGCATGCAACTTAAATCCATGCGGCTTTAGACCCAGGATGTTGCAAGTGTTTGTTTTGTATTGAGTGCACATTCCTCCTCCTGCCCTTCTCTTAGGCAAAAACATCAGCAGATATGGGTCACTGGTTGGGCCTCCTGCTGTCACAGACGGGAACCAAAACGGACCCGGAGGACCTGACGTATGACTATGTTAACTCTGAAAGGGTCTCCAGCATCGTCAGCGCTGCAAAGACTTCCTTCTAGTAAGTTAACCTTGATTGACCTGAAAGGTTTTATATTACTATGCAGCATTTAGGTGAGATCTATGCATGTGTTTCTCTGTAGCTTGATGCAAAGGAGATATTCAGAGTCAAATACCTACATAGACACTCTTCCTTCCATTCCTCAAAACTCTGATGAGCTGTACGACGATGTTGCATCAATAGCTGATCCTGAGGTAGGCATGGAAATTAATAAACCCTGATGGGTTATGCAACTTTCAGTTTCACTTTTTAATCTGGCTGCTTTCCATTACTAACATCCGACATTCATGTGATGCAGGATGCAGAGGAGAACGCCCTGCCAAACTGCGAGGAGGAAAACAATCACAATGAAACTAAGCAGGACAATACCAAAGAGGAGAGAGATGCCGAGCAGGAGTCCGACAACAGAATTTACCTCGACCTGGTTCCAATGCGCTCCTTCCTCCATACAGCCTCAGGGAATAAAGCTTCTCCTCCTTGCAAGGAAGCTTCCAGAGTTTGTCCAACCCCAGGAGAGGGCCAGAGGGATTCCTTTAGCCAAGTTACAGAGGTAGGAAATCTAAGAATAGTCACAGCTCTCACCGGCCCAAAGTCTAAAGGTCACAAACAGTAGATGTGCAAAGAAAATGGAGTTTAAGTAAATAAAAAATATCAGAAAAGTTTTAACATCTAATGAAAAAAATCCTTAGCAAACCGGGAAATAAGTAAAAACGTCTTTAGCCTTAATTTGAGGTAGATAATTCTACCCTAAAAGCAAGATAAATTAGATATTATGCACTTGAAATAAGAGACTTGTTTCATTGGGAAGGTGTCTCACTTCCCTCCTCATTTCAAGAAAATGCAGTTATTTTAAGAAAAATCGACTTACTTAGATTTCAGTTAGTTTGATTTAATTTTTTTCCTTGTTGTCATTTTTATTTTTTATGAGAATGAGCCTGAAAACCAAAAGTGTGATTATTAGACTTGGTCTGACAAATAATGTTCTAGGATAGCGGCCCTCAGGAACTGGAATTGCCTGCGTTTGTTCCAGATACTTTAGGAAATACCAGTAACTTATTGTCTGCCTCTAATTTAAACATCTAAATTAACATGGAACAGTAATATCCCTTAAACAGCTGTCATTCAGAGCTTTACAGGTTAGAAAAAGGGTTTTAAGTTTAAGACCATTGTAGAAAACCTAAAACAGATGAAATATGATTTTTACTTTTATCTTTTGTTTTGTGTTGATTTTTATTTACTTATTTTGATTTTCTGATTGTAGAGTAAATCTAGCCTATAAATTAGAAAGAATTGGACTGTTTTGGACTGAGTCACTCTGGGAGGAGATCTTTCCGTTTAAATTATTTTGCACAGGCAAAAGAAATGGACGCTCTAAAGGCCTGATTAATTTGGGGTTTAGAAATAAGGTAAAGATGAAGCCGAAGTTCTTGATATTAGTATTGAAGGTAATTTTATTCCATCCAGATTAAATAAGTGGGCAGTTTGTTCGATGCAGACGGCAAGTAAAAAATTACAAGCTTATCTAAATCAGGTCAGGGACTTTACCTGAGCTAAATGCAAATAGATGCTGAAGGCAATTAATTCCAAGTATCCTGGACTTTTTTAAGCGCTATGATTGCTTGTAGTCTAAAAAACAGAGTGATTGAATGATTCTTTGTGTTTAATGGATAAATGCGGCAGAGAATTATCGGCGCAACAATGGAAATGTATTCAATGATAAGTCATTTTAATATGCATTGGTTTAGACAGCTGGAAAAACAAACAAAAAATATATATAAAGCCAAAAAAATTTACAGAAAATGTTTCAATTTTCAGGTCCCTTCAATAAACCGAACTGATCCAGACTCCACCGTGGTAACAAATGGACCAAATTCAGCGTTACCCAGCAAACCAAATCAGCAGCGATCATTTAGTCCCACTTCCATAGTGGCACAAACTCAACCCACCAAGACTTCATCACCAGGTCAGGACATCTCCAAGAGGAACAGCCTGGGGGTCCCACGAGCCTACAGCCCGCCTGCAGCACAGACACAGAAGGGGGGAACAACACATACCACAGCATCCTGGATCCCCAACAGCCCACAGCTGGGACGACCAAAGGCACACACCATAGGTGAGGAAAAGTGACCCTGACCTCAGGTTTTAGAGACAGACCCTCCAGAAACAGACATGCTCGCCTTGTGCCACTGGCTCCCTCTAGTGGGAACATGCAGCCACTACAGCCGCATCCTCTAGTTTTAATAAACCAAAGACTTAATTGGTTTATTTAAATGGTTCTAAAAGCTGATATAATTTAACAGCCCCCCGCCTCCAAAAATAAATAAAAAATAAAAAAATAAGCATGTAGAGTTTTCCATTATATTATTAATAAACAAGTGGAAAGTCTTGGAATATTACAGGCAGTATGATCATTTGGGATAAAAAGTAGAAATAACTTTAAACTTAGGAAAAAAAATTAAATTTTTACAACAAAGTTGGTAACACTAAAGACCTACAGATTAACTTAATTCTACACACTTTACTGTATCCTGTATGACAGCATTATTTCGAAGAAACGGGGAAAGAAAAGATGGAGAGGTACAGCTTTTTTATCATTTATCTTTACATATAATGGTCAATGGTCATTTACAATGGTCATTTTATAAAAGTATGGATTGTTTACTGATGTAAACCCGCTCAATGAAAACATTTAAGTTTATATAATTTGAGAACTGGCAATGGTTGCACCTGCCCAGAAAACTGTAAAAGACTGTGAAACATTTCCAAAGAAGCAGGATAACATCTGCCAGGCTTTCCATGTCCTTCTAGTAGTGAAATACACATCAAATCCTGTCACTTTATTCTCAGGGAGCTCCAGTGGCTTTGAGATCAAGCTTGGCAAAAACCGCACTGAGGCAGATCTGCGGCGCTACATTGATGAACGCGATCGTCTGGAGAAGGAGAGGGAGGAGGTGAGGAGCAGCCTGGCCAACCTGAAGAAGGAAAAGAGAGAAATAAAAGAGGAGCTCAGCACCTGTCAGGGTAATGTCTGCCTGCTGCTTTAGTATTCTGACATCTCACGGTTAGGTTTTAAAGGCAAGAACGAAAGCTTTGACCATTTGTTTTTTTTTAGATCCTAAGCTGCAGGCTTCGCTGGAGGCGTGTTTGAAGGAGAAGGAAGAAGCGTGTCGGGAGGCGGAGCAGCACAGGGTGGAGGTGGAGCTTCAACTGGTAGAAGTAAAGGAAAGTCTGAAGAAAGTGGAATCAGGGCCTTTCACACTGGGAACCACACTGGACAGCAGCCTCCAGGACTCCGCAACGGTTAGTTTGGTCTCACCCTATATCACCTTATACAGTAGCAGCCATTCAAAATGGCCCTTCCCAGTCGAACGCCAGTCGAGTGGCAGCCAACTTCCAGCCACTGGAGTGACCCCCTTGCTTCTCCTGGGCATGCATATTTTCTTACTTTGACTTTACCCTTTCACAGAATTACAGGGTCTGACCAGGAGATGGTGCTTCTCTTTAGATCTTAATGTTCACAAATCATGACAGAAAGAATATTGTATTACAAAGATTGATGTTTAAAAAAGGAATTGTAGGGGAACAGCCAAGGACACATCAGGGAAAGTGGGGAAATTTTGAATGGCTACTATTGTATCTACATTCTTACTAGTACTTTTATATATATTTATATATATATATATATATATATATATATATATATATATATATATATATATCTCACTAAATACATATGGGAGAGGGGGGTTATAGTTCTGTTCTCATGATTTACATTAAAAGATCAATAGAGCTGCTAATTTATTGCTCTTCTTGTCCTGATACATTGGAAATAATCGAAATCTAGATAAGTAATTTTTTCTTAAAATAAGTGCATTTGTTCTTGGATTAAGGAGGTAAAAGAGCCATTTTGCAAATGGAACAAGACAATTTACACTTAAAATAAGAAAACACGATTGCATTGTCTTATCTAATTATCTTATTTTAAGAGTAAAAATATCTATTCCATTGGCAAAATATCTCATTTACCTACTCAAGTTAAGGGTAAATACACTTAATTTAAGACACTTTTATTTATTTATAGATCATTTTTCCAGTGTACAATTTGGGATTTTCACCATCTGTGTAAAATATTCCAGTAGGTTAAACTGAAATGCACTGATCTCCTTTGCAACCTGTGTTGTAGTCCAGTGTAAAAGGAATCTGTGGTTTCATGCAGGGTTTTTTTTGGCTGTGCTGTTTTGTTGTAATTAAGCAATATAAAGTGAAACACAATTAGTTACACTCTGTTTGCTTTTAAATGGGCTCTTTTTGCAACAATCAGACAGACAAACGTAGCGGTGCACATTTCAAAGGCTTGCAGATGTCAAAAGCCCTGAGCTGTAAGGCTCCGGCATTGGTGTGAACTGTTCAGAAACTATTTAGAATTAGGAAAACTAATCTAATTATTAACAGATTAAGTGTTGATTTAGACTAACTATTGCTAGCGGATCTATTCAGACCGAAAATGCAGCATGACTGGTTCTGAATGATGGCTTCAGCAGACAGCTGCCCCCCTCTTCCTGGTAATGCATACGACACAGAATCTTTTAGTGGTACACAGTACTGGACCGTACCAACTTGCTTTCACCCCTACCTAAAAGTGAGCGTGACATTTTCTGAGTTATTTTGTTTCTTTTTTTCCCCTCCAGACTAAAGCAACAACCATGTCCAATCCCCAAATATCATCACCACCAACACAAGCAGCACCACAACCATCTTCATCACCTTCCCAGCCGACCAACAGCAGCACGAGCGCTGACTCTCCAGTAAACGCTGCCTCAGCACTTAAAAACAGACCCACTTCCATTATTGCAACAAAAGGCAATGTCCTGCAGAAAGCCAAGGTAAGACATGGATCAATGCATGAAATACTTGAGCTATACCTTTAATCAAAATGTTTTATTGCTTTGGGTTAAAGCTACTGTCTGCGTTTGTTCTTGTAGGAATGGGAGAAAAAATCAACCACTTAGATGGAAGCTTGTAAATCTGCACAAACATTTCCGCCACCAGGGATTTTTAACCTTTCTTATTTCTACAGAGACATTAGAAGTGAGACTGAAGCACAAACTGAAAACATCCTAAACATCACCAATATTGTTTAATACCAATACATTTCTCATTTATTTTATTTGCATTTGGGAAAATGTAGGCAATAATGTGGCCAGTGTTAAAGAAAACCACTAAATTTTAAACAACAAAAAAATCCCTTTACTAAATTGTCTATTGTGTAAAATTTAGATTGTAGCGTAGTTCTTGTATGCTGGTAGCAAGATGTAAATATATGTACACCATTTATTCAGCCTTTTTGGCTTGTATTGCTAGCTAAAACTGCACTTTTTATTCAAATAAAAAAAAATCTTAAAATAAAAACATGCCAAAAAGAATTTGTTTGTGTTTCATTAAAAACTGATGAGATGACACCTAATGGATAAACTTTGCCAAAACATTTCTTGTCCATCTGTTTTATTTATTTTTTTTCTCTTCCAAATTGTGTTTTAAACCTTTTTTTGTTTCTTTCTATAACTATAATTTAGTGATTGTAAGGTAGAACAGTATATTTACAGTGAGGGAAATAAATATTTGAACACCCTGCTATTTTGCAAAAAAAAAAAAAAAACAGAAATCAAAATATATAATTTTTGTGGCTGGACTCTGCTGTTGACATAAGGTGAGGAGCTCAAAGTAAAGCTGCTGCTTATCGCCATGGAAATCCGATATCTTCGAAGCAGCTATACAGTCTGTTTAGCCTGGGGATGCTCATGCTGACTTCCTTCCCACAAGGAAGAGGGATGTGAGGGATTTGCTTCCTGGATCTGTTACCCTAGCAACCATATAGACGGACGAGCAGATGTCAGTATTAAGTGTCTTTGGTAACGTAGGCTGTGTTCGATTTCAGCAGCTGAGTCCTCCAAGGACCCAGTCTTTCAAAATTGGATCCTTCGAGGAGACCGGAATATTTTTGGCTGTGGATTCAAAGAGGTCCAGCCTTCCACGGCTTTTACCGCCCGTTCGGTCTGTCGCCTAGCAACCGTGAGAGTTGACACACGAAGCAGGAAAAGATTGAATACCGAACTTCTCCCTACTGTCCTGGGTGTAAATATCATTTTTGAGGAGCTTCAACAGTTGCATCGTATCAGATTTATAGTCCCCAACGCCGCAGATACATTAGAATCTGTCCTTTAAATATCAGCCAAACCCATTTACACAGGGACAGATAAAAACCTTTCAATAAACCAAACATTACTCGACACATATCTGACTCAATTACCATTTAAAACATTAAACAAAACAATATTTTCATTCATTTCAAATGGAACTATTCACATACTTGGATTATATGTAACTGCACTTCCAATATTCACCACTGTTCGGCACCATGTACCTTTTTCCTTTGGGTACAGAGCAGCCAGCTTGCTTGGACTTGCAAAGAATCACGGGATTCATTGCAATATACATCCAACTATACTATATTGTATAGTTGGATGTGTGTATATATTATATAAAATTGTAACTGGAGCGTGTAACAAAAGTAATTTCCCTCTGGGATTATTAAAGTATTTCTGATTCTGATCCGAGGCTATGAAGGATAAACCAGACCAGTCTTTCATAACACGCAAAAAGAAGGCTGCATTCCGAGTCTTGCAATCCAAACAGGCCTCTGCGCCGCGCTATGACGTAATCAACGTTTAAGATCCAATCATGTTGCTGTTGGTTTTAAATAAAAGCTGGAGATTTCTGCTATCCTCTGGGAGCTACACATCCTCAGCATGCTGCTGCCAGCACCATGTGTGATGCTGAGTATAGTAGCTTTAGATCAGAAACTTCATCTTTACTTCTAAAACTTTTCTAATTTTGCTCATAAAATCTCAATCTTTCTTAACAGGAACGGGAAAAAAAACTTAAGCCGACCCTCTAAGCTTGATTATGGATTTAGGTTAAAGTTGCATCCCTTTAGATGGTGGCCTCATAATCACTTCTCGTTCTGATAAGCTTGATCTTATGTGGTTTTTGGAGAATTTAGAGAATCTTTTTTTTATTTTCATGTTGACGATTTTTTTCAGAAGGTTCAAACTTGGGTAGTTCAAGAGTAAATTACTGCAGCTGTTCCTCAAAACTGATTTTGCTTCTGCACATTTTATGAGTACTTGCTAAAAGACAATCAACTGATTTAAATGAGCTTTTAATGGTTCTGATAAGGATAGTAATTAAATATCCAGCTGCAATGATATCAGGAGATAACTGATGGATAAAATTAAGAGTGTGCTTGCTAAAGGCCATTGAGCTGAATAATAGGGAGGTGTTTCTATGTATTTGATAAACGAGAACAATATATATATATTTTTTTTATTATTATTATAATCACTGCATTTGGTTGTATTTTTTTTTCCAACTGGGGTTACTTTAAAGCTTAAATTTAGGATGTAATTCATGTCCATCAAGACTGAATGCATATTTCTGAACAATTTTTCAAAAATAAAGAATAATTTGGGTTTACACCTTTTGAACAAATTCAGGACACAGATCATATAAACACACAATAGTCAGTCAGCACAATAACTGAGTCAAATTTATAAGGAAATAAAAAACTTTACTTAAACAAGCGGTGACAGAAATGAGATAAACACAAAGCTCATGCTGCCACTGTGACAAATATTAAATACAGAAAAATGAATCAGTTTTCTCTTTACTGCACAAACATCCCATATTTTTAAGCGCTCACACACCATTTTTATTTCTCTGCATAGTTGGTGAGTTTCAGGCAGTGTGTCTCCGGCGATGTAGTTTGTAGTGATACAGCAGCTCCTGGTGGCTCTTCTTCTGTCTGCTCTTCTTTCTCAGACCAACAGGTTTTGGAAAATCCCCTCTGGATGAGGACCTGCTGCTTCCTGATAGAAAGGTTCAAAACAGATCAGGATTTCTGCAAATAATTTACAGCCATGGCCATGACTGTAAACACAAATGCAACCTGGAAACCTTGAGGAATACATATAAAGTTGTTAGACAACAATTTAAGAGGAGCATTTTTCTTCGTTGTAAGTTGTAAGTTGTAAGTTGTACTTGCTTATGTGTCGACTGATCCTACAAATATTGCACCTTATTTAACAGTTCTCATCGAGGACATTAAGTTGGAGGTTTAACTTCAATACTTATAGGTCAAAAAGGGTCCAAGTAGCAAAATTTTCTCTACTGAGAATTACTCAATAGAATTGTGTTGCTACCTTTGCTATGCTTGCTGGAAATTAGCAGCAGGTTAATTTAACATCATGCAGCGGGATGTGAATCCATTTTGAAAAAAATAAAACATATTTGCCCTGCAAATAAAACTGTATACAGGAAAATCCTTAACCCTTTATAGAGCCCTTAGTTAAATAACTTTGAAAATAAAAATTTCAAGCCAATACTGTTAATGGAATCCAGGACAACACCGTATTACCATTGTAAGATAAAAAAAAAGTACTGATACTTTGATGGCAAAAATTAATGACAATAACGAATATATTAAGAAAAACAACAAAGGTGATTCTACAAGAAATCCATTAAAAACACAGAGTGAAAGAAACATGTTTTTATCTGTACAAAATAACCTTAGAGGCGTTAATGCTGATACTGGCTTACATTTTTTTAGTTTACAAACCTACATATAATTGTTAGCTAGGCTTATTAACTTATTAACTTTTCAATTAACTTTTTACCTGTTTTTCTTGACTTATTACATTTTTTAAGTTAATTTACAGTAGGTAATATCTTTTAAGGGTTCGTCTAATTGGTCAAATTCTAGAATAGGATTTATAGCCATGTAGCAGTATCTTTGCTGAATGGCTGGATATGGATCTTGTGCTTCTAGACCTCACTGAGGGACGGTGGCGACTACATTTGTTGGGTATGCAAGTGTTCAAAAATGTTAACATGCCCTATAAAGGGCATGAAGAAAGAAGAAATTTCACCAGAACGAATAGCAGCAGTCAAAATCCTACATTTTAAAACTATTTTCACATACTATATGTACTCCTGCAGGCACATCTTGTGAGACTTCAGTGATTTTGGGTCTAATAGCATCTTACAAATTCTCATCCATGACGTGAACTTCCAGTTCTATCCCAAACGTGCTCTGTTATGTATGAGTAAACTGAATTTTATCCTCAAGAAATCAGTTAGAGATGATTTCAGCAGTGTGACGTGATCCTTTATCCTGCAGAATGGAGTCATCAGAAGATGACGTGGTCCTTAGGAAGCCTGTGGTTCAGCTGCTAAATGGGTGCAAAAGTGCCATGAAAATATCCAAAACCACCAGACTAAACCATTAAAGGGTTTAAATGTATACCCTGGTAGCATAATTTTGTTTCTTCTGAAAGGTTACTGAATCCCAATGATGAGTTATTTGTTATTTTTGTGTTTTATGCTTTGCTTTTTCTCCCTTTATAAGTTAAATACATTTGCGTATATTTAGAATACAAACTGAGGTATGATACTGTGCATGGGGTTAACAATGACATAAAGGGCTAAGCCAGTTAGCATTTTCCAGTGAAGTTGTGAAAATAATGAATAAAAGTCCAAGATTGAGTTAGAAAAATAAGAAAGAAAATGGGAATGGAATAAAATGTATTTGACTAAAATATTCCTTGTCTTGATGCTGTGTGTCTGCATATAGTAGGACTTGCTGGATGGCTGGGCTCCTCAGGCTCCATCAAGTATCTAGCTTTCTAATAGTTCTGCTGTGCTGCCACCAGAGGGCGCCTTGTCTCTTTATGTCTGCTCATAGCACCATGTGCTCAAATTCTATTTAGGCTCTATAAAGAAAAAACACAATCAAGGTGTTAACTTGGTGTTTTTATAGTTTGGGTTCTTTTTTTCTTAATTGCCGTGTAACCTGACTATACCAGTTACATACCAAGCAAGACTGACCTGTGATTGTATATTTTCTCCAGATTGGGACCCCTCTGAATTTAAAACTAAACATACCAAGGTAACGTCACTCCAGTCTATTATTTTACAAGGTTGATGAGTCTAAATTGTGGCCTGAATTACATGTACTTAGCTGGTAGGATTGACCCCTGATACAATTTTTAGCTGCTGCAGCCCATTGCAGCCATGCATCAATGTATTAGGAGGGTTTTCTCCATCTATTGGATGTAAAGGTTAAATGGTTAACCACTAAATATTTTCTTTTATTTTAAGTAAGATAATGTTGATATTGCTGTTTTGAGCAGCAATGAGCAGGTAAGGGATAAAGATGATACTGATGTATAAATGAAAATGCAAGAAATAGATAATTGATGTAGCGGTTCGTTTATAACACTTACGTTTCTCACAGTGTAGTCCGTCGTAGCCTTGACACTGACATCTGAAGCTTCCTCCTGAGAGGATGCAGA